ACTACTACTCTCTCTCTCTCTCTCTCTCTCTCTCTCTCTCTCTCTCTCTCTCTCTCTCTCTCTACGTTGGGGGGAGACAATGCAAAGTCGCTGAGAGATGCTGATGTTTCGCCATGTCCTCCTGAGCCTGAGCCACTTACCAATACCGCCCTGGGTAGAACCATTGTGCTGATACTGTGCTCTCGTGAGACTGTGAGACTCACAACACACCCTCGGTATCCTCCTCCCGCTCTGCTACGCGCACAGCAGATGGGACTTTTGCCACGGGGCCAGTCACCGTCGTCCCAGGAGGGCCAGGAGCCGTCAATCTGCGCTTGGGTTATAGTTATAGTAAACGTGGGAACGTGCATGCACTACCCTGCCCTTCTCGTGAAGTCAAACACCACAGCACATGGCACGTCTGAGTCCTGACGTCTCATCATCCTACTACTCCCACTGTCCCAGATGGACTCCTCCCATCCTGCCGAACCAATTGTATCCTATGGCACTGCTGAAACGGGGGTCTCTGTCGGACGACCGTCGATCCACCATCGAAATGAAGACGCGCACTCCAAGCGCGGATGGCGCGCTCAGCCTCAAACCAATGGACGTCAGAGATGATTGGATCAATGTCCTTGTGACAAGAAAGAAGCCCTTCCTCCTCCCTTTCCCAGAGCGTGATGCACAACCGCATCCTTCGCGACATCCGCCCGTTTGGCGGTGATCCAGAACACTACGATTGATTCGTGTCATGACAACAATCCTAGACCGGAACAGGAGTGCTGCAACAGGAGGCCAGACCCTTTCTGCTGCAGGGCGTTGAATCTCTCTCGCATGGACAACAACAACAACAACAACGACAATAGGGGTAACAGATTTGCCTTCATCGCCAGCTGTACAGACACAAATTTACACGCATGTGTCAGCAACATTATTCGCACACCCACTTTTTCAGTTCTGTGAGAACCATACAGTAGCATTCTTTTCCAGATCTCCTCAAATCGCAGCAGAGCAGAGCCTGGTTCCGGTCGGCGAATTGTTTCGCATGCAAGTCCTCCGCACGCACGCACGAGCGCACGCACTAACCTTACGCCTAGAGCCTGCTATCGTGACGAATCACAGGGAAGATCAGCCCCACCCTGGACTTCACTCTCGCCATATCCGGAGATACCCAGGCACTTGTAGACCAACACCTGTCTGCCGAAGCTGACCTGGTTGTTGCGGAGAGGTCGCTGTGACCTACATAGGACCTACAGTAAGCAACTAACGCTGCTAGTGGCGATGCCCATCGCTGGATTACAGGTGTGTAGCGCGAAAGCATCATCGGAACCGCCTTCACAGCCTGTCCATGAAGTTCGATGTGCAATGGCGTCGATGCTAGTATGGGATGGTCGCAATATGCTTGCTTGGTACCGCCTAGAGTGTAGACATCATAAACAGCTCGTCAAACAAAAAGGTTCATGTGGCTATGATTGGCTATCTTTTAGATACAGTACTGGCTGATGAGATCTCATGATTATTGTATCTGGCCTGGTGGAACCAACAACACGAGTGGCCGAGAAGGCCGAGAGCAGGCGACATGGAATTGGAGGCTGAGGCTTATGGTGTGCTGACGTTGGGAATCTACTTAACTCTATGTACCTCTCGATCAAAGTTTTCCAAATGGCGCAAGTGATGCGCCGTACTCTGGTGGTCACCGTGGTCTAGCCTGCTTCTGTTATTCGAATGGAGATCTGTAAGACGAGGTATGTCTCAATTGCTGGCAGTATGGGTTAGGTCGAGCACAGGACAAAGGGCTGACGAGAATGATGCTCATTGCCGGCTTAGGATCACGCTGAACTTCAGTCTCATGCACGCTGAGTACAACAACAGAAACGTGTATTGGCTGGCGACCAGAACAAAAGCCAATCGTAGTGGGAGAATGATAGCTAGCGTAGGTATTCTCGCAATTCCCAAGGTTTTCGCAATCAAAAGCATATGACTATTGTATAACCGGGCACCTGCAGGCGAAGGCATGGAGTGTCTTCAGCCTCCGCTACTTCAACTTCTACATATACCTCCTAACAACACGTAGAGTTGGGGTCTCATGATCTTCATCTCATTAGTCAGTCAAAAATCAGCACCTGGCTTCCCACCAACGCCTTCGCTTAGTGGATCAGTCAAGACAAACAAAATATATCCTCTCCCAACACCAGAGAGGCGGGCCACAACGTTTGCTCTTCCGCAGCGTTTTACTACGCTACTCCGCCTTGCCTGTTTCCCTTCTTCGCAATGTAATAGGTCAGCAGCCCTAAGCGTCCCTCATCAACATCCTTGAACTCTTGCCAAAAATCAGTCTTGCTTGGCTCGAAGACATCAAAGAGGTCGCTAGCGAGGTCGATGTCGACCTTGCGAACTTCCGAATCGGCGTCGTTGAGGTAGCGAGCCGTTGTCTGCGCCAAGCGAGCTTTGCGCTGTGCGCCAAGGTCAACTCCAACATCAGACCTGGTCTTGACCACCAGTTGTCGAAGCATAGATAGCGCCATGGTGAGCATTCGCGGCGATTCTGCGCTATGTTCTGGCAAGAAATCCAAAATAGCATCAATGCAGGTCTCCGGCTTAGCTTCTTTGGTGATCTCGTCCGCAGTACGTTGCATGTCAGATACAACATGACTGTTTGCATCTGCAGCTTTTCTAGTCAAGAGGACTGTGACGAGAGCTTTGGCATACCAGGCAGTAGCTTCTTTGTGGTACAACGCCACCAGGGCACGTAGGACACCTAAGGCCTGTGTCTTGAGTCCGGCAAGCTTCGATGGCTGCTGGGAAAGCTTCGAGTCGTGATCCATGGTTTGCAAGTATTCGAGCAAGACCGCCATTAATTCGTCGTACTTTCTACCGCCGTCCCAGATGTCACCTCTGAATCTCGCAAGATCTTGGACGCGACGAAAGCCATGCGCATCGAGCGTCTTGGTTCTGATGCGCTCAATACCTGAAGCAAGTAGTCGGCGATTTCTCGTGATTTCGGCACGATCTTGAGATGAAGAGCTTAGTGGTGGTGGTCGTGCGCCAGTGACTTGAGATGGGCTACGAGGACTGTTGCTCGAGCCCACACTTGGCGGGGGACTTTCCGCTCGTACGTTCTCGTTCAGAGGCAGCTCGCCGAGTACCTTCCGATCTTCTTGTGCACCGGCCGACGTCGCATCCTCGACAAATGGATCTTCGTATATCTGCACCTCATCGGCAGGCCGAACAGGTCCCCCTTGCTGTAACTCATTGTTGTCCTCTGAGCCATTTTCAGATCCGTTTATAGTCCGCTGTGCCTCATGCGAAAGACTGCCCATGTTCCGCGCTTCGTCAAACATGGCTTTGATGGGACCCTTGTAGGCTAAAGGCGATGGCGCTCGTGGCTGATTCGGCAGACTTGGCATCACCATGGTGAAGTTGTCTTCGTCAGCAAGATAAGGTATGCCGCTATCCACTGATCTCGTTTCTCCCAGGCCTGATCGCTTGTGACCAGGTGAAAACTGTCCTCTGTCTGCAAGAGTCCTAGGCAGGACCATGGTGAGGTCGTCCTCGCGTACACCGCGCATGGTATCGCTGCCTTTGCTGCTAGGCCTCGAGTCGATTGCTGCCTGCATTTGTTTTCTAGATACGACAGGACTGTGTCTGGCTGAGCTTACTTTTGGACTACCATTGGCAAGATCTGCTGTCTTTGCCCTATTCCTAATAACGCTGGACGCAGCAGTAGATGCCTTTGACGCTCCGGTGCTCTTTTCTGGACTGCCCATTGGACTAACGTTTGCAGGCGTAGTGGGTCTCAGCATGCGTCTTGATGCGTACGGATCCGCGGTCTGCGGTCGGGGAATCTCCGGTCGTCGTGGTCGTCGAACTGGTCCAGACATTAGGGAATTACCCTTCTTGCTGGCAGTAGCGGTGCCAGAAGCATCTGCCGCTGAAGCGTTTGACTGCGCCGACACTTGTCTATTCGTGACTTGCGACATCTTTGAGGGTCCACGAACCGATCCGTTCGGAGTGGCTCGATTCTTCATAGGCGACAGATCTGCCATGGCGGAGTTCGGTCGCGACGGGAGCTTGCCACCAAGTTTTGCTTTCCGCTGCTGTTCCATATGTTCCTTGAGTGATGTTCTACTGACTGCAGACCTCAATGTCGCCGGGGCTGCGCTCACAGACTGGTATAGAACCGCATGAGGATTGTTAGGGTCTTTTTCAAGTGCTGCCTTGGCTTTGGGGTCCAGAGCTCCCATGATCTTCTCGGCCTTGCCTGGCCACGTCTTTGCAAACATCCAGTAGGTCGCTCGCGTGCCTTCCTTGACCTTTGGATTCGAGTCGTCCAAGCCCTTCTTGATGCACTTCTCTGCGAGGTCGAGCCCTCCGGAGCTCTCGAAGCTGTTCCTGTAGCTCGCCTGACGTTTCAAAATGATGGTGAGCCAGCCGCTTGCGCATATTCTGACCTGTGCGTTCTTGTCCTGCTCCGCAAGCCATATATGTCGCATCATCTGATTGTGATACGTGCAATTCTGAAAGATCTCGCTTGCCGTCACTCTGCCGTTCTCCGACTGGATGTGTTTCGTTGCCGCGCTCATCTTGATGAATGATTGAAGCAAGATCTCAACATGAGGATCCATGGCAGGGCCCAAAGTCTTTGTAAGCTCCTGCACCAACTGGCACCCGTTTGTTGCCATAGTTGTGCGCAGTGTATTTGCGACTTTCAATATTCCTTCTATGACACTCTTGATGCCGGCCATGAACGCGTGGTGATATTCACTCGGCGCATTGCCCTTCAGTATCCTTCTCAGCTTCAGTACGGCTTTGTCTCGCGTCAACCAATTGTGCTCAGTCTCCTTGCCTTCGAAGTGCGGCAGCATGTCCGTAAATACATCTTCCAGCTCCCTCTGCGAATGGATGTAGATGGGATCCATCTGCACAGTCTCCTGCGGTGGTGGCTGCGCAGCCTCGCTCTTCAAAATCTCGTCCAGGTCTTTGTGCGCGGGAAGCGATCGAGTTGAAGCGGCCATATCCGGCGTCGCCCCGCGTTCTGCATGACCTGCTGTCTGCGGTCGAGATGCCACGCCTTCGGCTCCAATTCCAGCCAAGATCTGCGTCGAGATGGTGAGGCGCACCGAGTATGCTTTGAGCTGTTTCTTCAGATCCAATTTGGCACCATTCGGCGCATTGCTGAACAATTCGAGCACGACCTCCTTGGCAGCCTCTCGAACATTCCCATCGGCGTCCTCCAATCTCGCCACGATGCTCTGCGTGTAGCTTTTGAACGGCATTCCCTCTTCTTTGTGCATTCGAGCCACCCATCTCATGCCCGTTTCCTTTGCACGCACACTCGAGCCGCCTATTGCTCCATCACGAATCATCTCCTCGACCTCGCCAGGACAGAAGGGGTACAGATCTGTCATTGCTTGTGAGGTCGCCGCGCGTACCGGCTCGCGCAGGTCGCCCATCCTTTCCTGGAGCGCGCTGAACAACCGGGGCGCAAGATGTGAGATGGCATGGCCGCTATTGTCCTGGATCTTCAAACGCTTGATGAGATGTCCCAGAGTGGATAGCGCGGTGCTCAGAAGGGTGGACGAGGCCTGCTGGGAGATGGCGAGTTTGATGCAGTCAAAAATAGTCGACTGTGCAGTCTCGGGCACTCTGTAGTGCTTGATGTCGGATTTGAGCGCGTTCAGCTGGTTGACCTTAACGTCAGTCTGCGCCGAGGGTCGCTTGAGCGTACTCAGCAGAGTCGCCGCTTGCTGATCCATGGCTGATGAGCGAGCGAGCGAACGTATGGGTCGTGGTCGTGGCCGTGGCCGTGGCCGTTGATGGTGGAATGTTAGGTCCAAGCGAGGGACCACGCCGATATTGTCTGTGCCGTATTATGAACAGGGACGGACGGGAGCTCTTCGACTGTCTGCGACAACACGCGACGTAGATCTTCAGCGTGCACGGAACGTCTAGTTGCCCCAGCTACCCACCTCTAGTGCCGCTTGCTACTTTTGATGCCCGCGGTGACACCCGCAGAGGTAGTCTGCAGTAGGAGGTACGTATTATTGCGCGATTATGATTTTAATATCTGTCGAATTCGATTCTGGATGAGATGATCTCCCGAGTGGCCTGGTGTGAAATGTGAAGGTGTGTGTGTACGGTATGTAGGTACCGGTAGAGGCTGTAGTGTGGATGCCTGGAGGGTGTCTCTATTCCGTTATTGCATGCACAATTTCGTCAAGTTCGCTCGAAATTGGCGGGAGAGTTTCCCCAAGGTTTACCAGGCACGAAGAACAACCTCCAAGGGACATGGATGGTAAGCCAGGTAAGGAACCTCCGTCCCAACTCCAAGGGATGAGATCGGTCTGACCGGATGACAACTGTACCACAGCCTGTGCAACATAAAAACAACAAACAGCAGAATACAGACCACACAAGCGACAGACCCGCTCAATATCCCTGAACACACGCAGCGACAGTGACACTGTGACCTGAACGTCTCCCGAGCCAACCACACGCCACCCGGACTCCGTATTGAGTTGTGCCATACTTTACAGCATACAAGTCATCATCGCCAAAATGCCCACGATCCCCAGGATAGAGAACGCCACCTCTCCAGAACCGTCGACATTGCCCATTCGAAAGCACAAGTTCGAAACGCCCAAGCTACGTCTGCAACTCCATGATTTGGGCCATGAGGGCAGCTCGATCTTTCTGTCCAATGTTAAAGCCAGTGAGGATTTTGAAACCCAAGTCCAGAATGTCTTGAATCTACTCTACGATCACCCGAGCGAATCTCGCCGGCCGGCAACACGAAGTGTAACCCTGATACTCCGGGAAATGGATGGCGTGGCTTACACCACCGGCATCGACCTGGATAATGATCACAAGGAAATCCACTTCAGCCTCAATTATATAGCTCGTTCACGCGCGGATCAGCGATACGAATTGTTGGGAGTTCTGTGTCACGAGCTTGTCCATTGCTTTCAATGGAATGCTGAAGGCACGTGTAATGGCGGTCTGATAGAGGGCATAGCGGACTGGGTACGCTTGCGCGCTGGACTTGCTGCACAGCACTGGCGACGAGAAGCTGAAGGCGACTGGGACGGTGGCTATCAGCACACGGGCTACTTCCTCGAATGGTTGGAGCAGAAGTTTGGGCCTGGAACGGTGCGGAAGTTGAACGGATGCCTTCGGAAGGGGAAGTATAGTGATGACTTGTTCAAGGAGTGCTGTGATGGGCAGAGTGTCGAGGACTTGTGGCAGCAGTATGGAGAGTATTTGAATAAGGATAAGAAGGCTGGCAAAGAAGATAGCAGCAACGACCCCGAAGCTGAAGCTGAAGCGAAGCCAGAGATCAAGAGTTGAGCTTGACCACCGAGAAGGCGTAGGCCGGGTCTGGCAATTGTAACACATTACTGTATGCACCGAACGCTCGCCTTCACTGGCTTGGAACCACCACTTGGAATGCGCAACGTGCTCATATACGGTCTAGATATGTTTAAATCTACTGAATACCCATCTCGCAAGTGCCACAGTTGGTCGTAGTTGTCGTGCCTTCTCCGGGCGAGAGGTCAAGCACGGGTTGGGAATGTGATACCGCATGCCATCAACCGGTACAGTCTGAGTCGATCCGACATTTATCGTGCCAACTGCCGTCTTTGGAGATCGAGTCGACATCTGCCTGTGCCAACCACTGTTTGACCTCGTAGCAAAACTGCTTGGCCTTGTCGTATATTGCCTGTGTCGCTGCGGCTTGTCGGTAGCCACATCGATGTACTTCGTTGTTCGCTTGACTCCAAGTTCTTGCAGTCAAGATCCCGTCCTAAACACTTCAGGAAACAGCGCTCTCAGCTCCTCCAGATGCTTAATTTGATGATCGCACGCCGGCTCGGGCGGTGAGCTCGAGCCCTCTTCCACGAGATGAACCGTCTTCAGGCCATATTTCTTCCCTCCAACACAATTCAACGCCGAATCGTCCACGTAGTAACAGCTCGTAGGATCCACCACCCCAGCCTCCCGCATTGCTTTGTCAAACATTGCAGGATCGGGTTTACATAACAACTTCTCGGCTCCGTAATCGCAAAACGTTATGCCTTCGAATAGATCCTCCACGCCAAGCAACTTGACAACTTTCCTTGCGTGATTGATGTAGGCGTTCGTAAACAGCCACGGCTTGATTCTCTGTCGATCAATATCTTCAAGCAGCCTTCGCAGTTTGTCATCTGGCTTGATGATGTCGTCCAAAGGCAATGCATCGTCCACTTTGGCGTTGTACTCCAAGGGGTCGACTCTGTGGTGGCGTACCAGTCCCTCGATCGCAAGACCGTAATCTTTGTAGTACCTTTGGTGCAGCATAGTGGCGTCTTCGCGTGACATGGACAAGTGTGATTGAAAGTAGTTGTCTATGAGAACAGACATGTGTTCATGGATCTTGTAGGCTTTGGTGTAGAGGCAGTTATCGATGTCGAAGAAGAAGACGGCACGTGTGTCCTCGGCGTCCGCCATGCCATTAGTAGTAGCCATGGTGTGCGTGGAGCAAGCGAGAAACTGTACGATCTCTGGAAGAGTCAAGAATGAAAATGTATATGAATAAGGTACCAGGGCATATATCCAATGTTGTGCAGCATGCATGCCTAGAATCCCTCGATGGTCCGACCACAGACTCCAGATGGAACTATGTTTCCCGGCCGAGTTTCGCCGTTTCGCCGCGAGGACTCGGGCGGTTGACATTCTTCTTCTCCTCGCACGCAATCTCCTGTAGTGACAACATCAACCGACACACTCGGTTTCAGCGCTTCGCCTGGTTGCGAGTCTTTCCATTGCTCGACGCGCGAAGATAACCACCTTGATCATCACACCACAGACGTGTCGAGGTGGTCACGAAGAGCGCGAATGTCTTGCGTCTCGTCGCGGTCCAAGACAGGAAACCACCGTTGCAACCTTGGCTTCCATAAATCGCAGGAGAGCACCTTCAGAGCCCACGATGCTGAACGGCGGCGCCCATGGGGTGAATGGCGGCAGCAATGTCACCCCTTCCCCTGCTGAAGAGGAGAGCTTTTACATCAAGTTGCTGGGCCTCGCCGATACTGTGGTATCTGGTAGACATGCGCAGTTCAAGCTCCCGCCTGCTGCCATCCAGCAGCTCAAAGCCAGTCTCGCGTTACTCAACGCGCCTGTCGCTGGTGCTCAGCAAGTTGCAGAGAGCAGTCTCGCCAATGGCGTAGCATACATGGCGAACACGTCTACTAATGCACAGCACTACCCGACGCCCACGACATCCACGTTCCCTGGTCTGCCCGGCCTGCAGACTCAGCAGCCTCACACTGTGAATGGCGCGCCCCCTTCGCTCGTCAAAGCCACCTCTGGCGGTCTCAACCCGATCTTCTTGGAGAAGTCGGAAGTTTTGGTAAAAGCAGAGAACCGGCACAAGCGTCAGCACATTGAGCGCGACCTGCAAGCTCAGGCTGCGCAGGCGCAAGGCAAGCGGCCCGGGCGCGACGATCAGAGTGCGGAAGCCCCATCGCTTGACATGAACGCTATTATGCTTGCTTCGGCCGCTCGTGAATTGCATGTGTCTGGATTGAAGCAGTCGGGCAGAGTGGACAGCGAAGCGAGGTCGTTTGACACCAACGACTACTACTCGAGCCAAGTCCAAAGTGACTGGTCCTCTCCCGATAGCGCAAGTAAAGGTTCTGACCGCGCAGCAGGTGCCCTCCCAGCAGACTTCGAAAGCCTCGGAGGACCAAGTGCGCAGTCTTCTTTCGCTAAGACTTCTGTCATGGGTAAGCAACCTGCTGTCGCTCGTGATGACCACACACCCAAAGATCATGCCAGTGTATACTCTGCTCCGCTTCGGTTTGCGTACGAAGTCGTGGACGATGACGAAGACGATGAATACACGCCTCCTGATGTATCTGCGCTCGCGGGATACGACGACGACGCAGGGCTGGAAGAAGGACAAATCGGGTCCGAGGATGACGATGACTACGAGCCTGGCGAGGTCACAATTGACAGTAACGTACCCACACCACCGCAGCCAGCGCGACAACTGCAGCAGTACTCTCCAAAGGTCATTCGCAACCATCTCACTCACATCGCCGCACCACAACCAAACAGAGTGTCTCCGCTTGCCGTTGCCAAAGGTCCCAATCTGGCAGGTGAACTTGAACTGGTCAACGGTTGTCCAGAGGTGGTCAGTACCAACTACAGCGCTCGCAACAATGCCAATGCTTCACGCTACAGTAGTGCTTCGCCGCAGATTGGCACTGGGGGTGTTCACAACAAAAAGCGCCGAAATAAGAAGCGGAAGCGAGACACTGAGCTGAATACTGCAAATGGTCGTGCTAAGAAGAAGCGCGAGAGACAGGCAGCACCTCCATCACCAGTCTACAGCGGGCCTCGTGTCAAGGACGAGCCGATGTCCCCTCCACCATTTGCCGACGTGCCAGAGACTCGCACTTTTGCTCGGTATGTGGACAGACCCGCGCATTACCGGCCAGCTGAGATTGATCTGATGTCTCCACGACACATTCCTTTGCCACCGTCACCATACGTGCCAGAGCCTCGGGCTTCGGGTCTACGACACGAGTATGCTCAGCCAGCATCGCCTTCTGCGGCCAGAATGGGGTCTCCTCTATCATCCCGGCCGGTGCAAAGAGACACACAGGACCTGAGAAGAGTTGCCAGCATGCATTTCGCCCAGCGCCCGGCGTCCCCAACACAAAGGACATACTCTCCTGCGCCTCAGCGTACTGCATCCATGGCTTACGGCGATTCCAGATTGTCTCAAGCACCAACTGACGTTCGATACCAAGAGCCAATTCGTGTACAGGAATATCACGATCCCTATGGCAGGAGACCGCAAAGTCCTGTTCAGATGCCACCACCAACTGCTCCAAGGAAAATTGTTATTGATCAATATGGCAATCAGTATTACGCTGCGGAACCCGAACCGGCACCTGCGCCACCACCGCCTTATAGGGCTTCTGTGGCGCCAATTGATAGAAGACCACCGCCACCAGAGATTGCATATGAACGTGCCCCTAGCCGCGCTGCGGCTGCATATGTTCCGCCCAGCTATGAACGAATTGATGCGCGTATGGCCCCCCCGCCATCCAAGAGACGAGCTGTGGAGGAACCATTAATACAGTACGTGGACGCGAATGGGTACCCTGTGCCTGCTCCAGAGTTCAGTAGGCCAGAGATACGATATGTGGAGGCGCCTGCCTCCCCGGTATATCAACCTCCTCAGCCTCGATATGAAATGCCACCACCGCCGCCTCGTTCCGCGCGTGAGCCAACATCGCCCGTATATGCTGAGCCGACGTCTCCTGCATATGCGCCGAGCAGAAGTTACAGCGTGCGACCCGATGTGCCACATGTGCCTCAGTACACTCGACAGGCCAGCGTGGTGCCACAGCAGTATGCTCGCCAGGCAAGCGTCGCTCCTCAACATTATGCACGGCCAGAGGTGGGCCATGCACCCCCTGCGCGAGCTATGAGTGTAGTACCCGGCTATGAACAGCCGCGGGCACCGCTGTATGCTTCTGCACCCCCACCGCAGCAGCAGGTGCGATACGTGGATCAGTACGGCAGAGAAGTCGTTTATCAGAGCGACCCAAGACCGGCTCCTCCGCCAACTGAATACAGATACCAGTAGAAGCATTCCATCGAACAGAAGTTGTAACACTGCAGCAAGAACTTGAAGGTCAATTGGGATTTGGGTCGTGCAAAATCTGGAGGTAGCAGCTCAGACGTGTGATTACCTACCTTGATGTTTGTGTACAGCGAAGCATGGCATATGATTGTGAGGATGTCTGGCATCATAACTTAGGTATTCTTCTGTACACTTGTTCTAGTTGAGGCTTGGGAGCCACACTTGCATATTGCATACCATGGAATACATCAGTCTGAAGCCGTGATGCGTGATCACGGACTACCCAATAATTAAAACAGATCGGAGAGGGCGGAGTTGGGAACTTGGGATTGAGTTCGACTATTGTTGTTAGTACGATCTCCGAGCCGGCGCTCAGGACGTTGCGCCGCAAAGCGACGGCCTCATCTTCGCAGGCCACTGAGGCCACTACGCGGTCTGAACAGCTTACTACTGAAGCGGTGTCGTCTGCTGTTCTCGATAGACCCATGTGGGTAGATGTAGATGTAGATATATATACATAGGTATGTATGTATATATACTTGCCATAACATGCCCAGGATCATGCTCCGTCCACAATGTTCTAGATGGTGTCCCGCTGCATGTGTGCTCAATTATGTAACCGACGAACCCCAGCATGCCAAATGTGGTGGTGGTAGGTGGTGACTTGGGTCCGTTTCGTTCGCTTTTCTACGTCCACCTCAGCTTTCGAGCCCTTCTGCGACAACAACATCCTCGACCACCACTTCTCGCCCTCTGCAATGTCTGCTCGCCTTTGATAGGGTGCAGTAGCGTTGCGTCTTCCCGTCTGCTTTCTTGCCACCGTTCTTCACCTCTACCTCGCTGCGGCTCTCCAGACGCCGCGTGCCCCGGGGTTTTTGACTTGCCTTTCTGGACTTGCGTCGACCGTGATCTCTCGAGCCCGCCAACGACAACACTCGTTCGACTTCCATCCCAAAACCCCCCCAGCCTCCGCTCGACGTGGTGTGGAACAGCAAGAGCATGCATAAGATCTCCAACTTCGTCAGCACTGGCCATGCTCAGCGCTTCTCGGGTATGGGTTTCACGCGTGGACAGCCCCAGCATCCGCAGCAGCAGCAGCAGCATCAACAGCATCCTCATGTGCCGCAGGAGCACATGCTGAATATTGGCAAGCGGACAGCGCCGGGAATGTCCGCGAGCCCCAGTCCAGCGATGCTCGGGCCCGTGATGGTGAACATGTCGTTCAACGTGCCCTTCAACTCGGCGTTGCCGGGCCCGGACAAGGACGATGTACTGTACAGCAGCTATGGAGCCTTCCAGCGATGGACACACCCTGAAGGCGCCGACGGCGACATGCCGAATCATGCTCTGCCTGTCCACACGCGTAATGTGGAGAATCTGCGCAGCTTGTGCAAGCAAATTAGCGAGAGCAGCGGCGACCGGATCCAAGCTACGGTCACGTCCTCGAAGCCCAAGCCCATCCCCGGCATACAGCGTGGTTCTCTGTCAGCACTGGTCACGAACGTATGCATCTCCGGTGACCACGACCTGGCGCACAAGATGCGGGCGAAGGTGCTGAACGAGACGCCGATCACACTGGTAAGTAATTCCGTTGCAAAGTGCAAAGTTGCCGTCGGCTGACTGGATTGTAGCGCTGCGAGACTGTCGATATCGACCGAGAAATCGTGTTCCCCCGAGGACAGGATGATGCTCGAAATGATGTTGTTGAACACATGGATCAGATCGCTGAAAATACGAAAGCAGACATTTTCCTCCTCGAGTCCAAGTCAAAGCGGAAGGACTCAGATTCCATCAGCTTCGCGAGCAACATGGAGAAAAGCATGGACAACCGGCTCCGCATATACATCTACGGTGATAGCGAGAGCTCGGAGAACGCAAAGACGCGACTGCTCATCATGATTGATCAACTGCTCCAGCGTTTCGTCGATCTTTTCCGCGTGGAGCTGTCCCTGCACAATCTGATCTCAGGCAGGCAGAGAAGGAATATCAAGCTGATTGAGTCTGCTACTGGTGCTGCAATCTACTTCCCACCCATGTTCCCAGCCGTCTTCGGCTACACACCACCTGGATCCGTTCCTCTTCGCAGTCGGGATGACATCATCATCACTGGCGATAGCATGGACAATATACTCCAGGCCAAGAAGAGATTGAACGACTTGGTCCAGGCCACGAAGACCTTTGTGAAGGACGTGCAGATTACGACGAATAAGATGGACTGCATTCTGCTCGAAAGATTGGACAAGATCCGAAAGATTATCGAGGCTAATGGCTCTTACGTCCTGCTGCCACCTCTTGGAAGCCGCAGTGGACATATTCGCGTGCAAGCCACCGACATTCTGAATGTGGAGCGCACGGTGCGTGAAATCATGGGTTTGGCTGGGCAGTTCTACAGCGCTTCCTGGTGGGTTACTCATCCAGAGACTTCCCAACGTCAGCCGACCCCGTCCGATGTGCGAGCCATGCTTCCGGATATCTGCATCAACAGTGGCGCTGAGGTCACCTTCGAGAAATTCAATTTCCACATCAATGGCAGCGACGACTCCGTTAAGGCTGCGATGTCGATCATCAACGTCTTGCCGTTCGTGAGAAAGGCACAATCTACTCTGCGCGTGAAGGTCGAGCTCGCAAACGAGCACAAAGAGTTTGTCAGTGGAAAGAAGAATGGCAAGATCAATAAAATCATGAGCCAGAGCAATGTTCAAATAGTATTTGACGGATTTAACGAGTACAACTTCTACATCGACGTCCGCGGAGCACAGTACGAGGCGACGAAAAATGGGCTGGACCTCGTCGAGCTTGAGATGCCGGCGTCCATCTCGTTCCATGTTCCGGACCAGTACCACAAGCGCATTATCGGTATCGGAGGTCAGCACATCCAGCGCATCATGAAGAAATATTCAGTCTTTGTCAAGTTCTCAAATGCCATGGATCGTGGAGGTATCGGCAAGGATGACGACGATATCAAAGTCGACAATGTCATTTGCAGAACACCTGCACGCAACGCCGACAACCTTGAACTAGTCAAGCAGGAGATTATGGACATGGTGGAGAAAGTCGATGCCGAATTTGTCTCCGAACAGGTCCCTGTTGATCGTCTCTACCATCGTGAACTTGTTGCTCGCATGCAAGAGATCGAGGAACTTGAAAAGAAGTGGAACTGCAAAATCACGTTTCCAGGCACTGAAGCTGCCAGCGACATCATCACGGTCAGTGGACCTGAGTGGCAGGTCCCGCAGGCCGTCGATGAATTTTTGGTAAGATCACGCTCGTTTCGCGAATGGCATGCGACATCAACTGATTTTCGTTGCAGGGCATGGTGCCAGAAACCCATGAGATCGAATTTCCATCTTCACTCGGGCTTCGCGAGTTCCTTACGTCCAACGAATTCCACCGGGACACGGCGCAGAAGCTCAAAGACCAGTATGTCGTCGAGGTCTCTGTCAGCGAGCCAAAGAATGAGAAGATTGGCGATCAAGTGGTCTTGGTCGAACGCCTTCTGCTCAACTATACCCGAAACAATGCTGGCGGGCTCAAAGATGCCATTGACTTCTTGTTACTGCCCTTCATCAGCCGAGGGCTCGATCAAAATGCTGTAAAAGGCGCTATTCCACGACCAAAGTCGGACTCCTTCGAGGACAACATGGCGTTCTTCGAATCCAAGCTGCTGCAACGCGCTGAGCCTCCTGTCCAGGATTCGCCGACCCGTACTACGTTTGGAGAGGAAGGTGCCACCCGGTCCATCTTCGATAAGCTGCGGAAGCCTAGTAGTATGGCCTCCTTCACTTCGTTCATGGACCGCAGGAGAAAGACTGGCTCGAATTCTCCCGCGTCCATATTCCTGCAAGGCTCCGGCAATGCTTCCAAGGCCTCTCTTGTCAGCATGGAGTCTCGCGATTCTGGCTATCGCCAATTCTGGAACGACTCTGGCATTGATCTCGATCACGACCAGCAGACCGGCCATGCCCATGCTAACAGCTGGGGCTCGATTGGCGGCGGTTCTTCTCGACCAAATACCTCCTCAAACTCACTTTCTGGCGCATTTGAGACAAAGTTTCCTTTCGGCGTAAACGGTAACGCCTCGACGAGTTCTCTTAACACTCCCATGATACCCGGTCTCGGCATGGTCTCCGGTACTCCTGCAGTCGGCGCGCACGAGGTCAAGTCTGCCAGTAACGGTGACGTGACACCCAAGTACGATGCTCACGCCGATCGATCGGCCGTGGGCAGCGGGAAGGGTCACTCGATGTCAACTGATGCTCAGCAACCACCGATCTCGCGCCCGGCGTCTACCAGTACCATGGCCACCACGATGACCACGAAGAATGCTTCTGCGAGTACCACATCTTCAGGATATACCCGGCCACAATCTGGCCTCCGCGAATGATTGTTGAAATGTTATTGTCGTTGGAAGCGATACGAATATGCCGTTTGTTTTGGTTGTTATTTTTCCCTATTTTTCCTCTCGCGTTTTGCTTTTTATTACTTGTTCGGGGATACCCATGTGCGACGTAAGGGAAGAAAAAAAAAGCCGTGCTTGCATGCTTGCAACAACATGCAACTCGCATTGATCTGAGGTGTTTGTGTGTGAGAGAGAGAGCGTGTGTGTGTGTGTGTGTGTGTCTGTGTGTACGTGAGAGAGAGAGAATGAGAGAGAATGAGAATGAGAGAGGGAGAGAGGGGAAAAAGGCAATGAGACTATGTTGGGGTTTGTCTTCTACAACAGGGAGAAACGGGATATACCACTTTCGCGACGACGGTTTTCAACGCAAGCAGCGATTTCGTCTTTTTGTTTTCTGAGAAGTTGCGGCGGATGAGGGGGGGATACCTTTGGTGGGCTCCTGATACACACTCTCTTCAACGAACGATGACGATGGAAACGAGGTGCTGAGGTCGAATTGGTTCGTTGGTGCATGTAGTCGAAAGACTCGTGCCACTGCTGCCAAATCGGGGCTGAGTACACATGTTATGACATACAGTAGTAGATACGGTAGACCAACGGACGAATCCTGACTCCAGCATCTGTTCGTGTGCCACTCACTTTACTTATTTTGTTCGCAGTCGTCCCTTTGATTACTCCCATGCACCCAAGTATCTAGCTGGGAGAGAGAGAGATTTTAAATGCAACAGTTGCGATTCCTTGGTCTATCAATGTATCGGTAGTTACGGTAAGTCTAAATTGATCCTGGACAACTCAAAATGACAACACTTTCATTTTCAAGACCTTTTTTCTCTTGCCACAACAGCCACAACGACACTCCATCTGATGAGACATCAAGTGCTCATCTCCTTTCCCCCAACTGCAACAGCAGCAACAACAACAACATCATCATCATCGTCATCATCATCAATCATCATCATCATCTAGTTACCAGCACGGTACTGAGAGTACAAAGCGTTGGCACGCTCGCTCTGGCCAGTGGTCCACTCAGTCATGCAAGCATCGTACGAGTAGTCCATGTAGTTGTGGATAGAGTCGACACCGGAAGCGTTAGGGCACGAGTCCTGGCTGGCAGGGCAGCCGTTGGTGGCAGTGCGCTGGATAGGAGTGTCAGAGACCTGGTCACCAGATCCGCTGCAGCTCTGGCCCTGGAAGACGTGGTAGACACCGAACCAGTGACCGACTTCGTGCACGGCAGTCAGTCCCTCGTCGTAGTTGGTGGCATCACCGCCGGGAAGGGAGCCTGCGAGGTTGATGCAGCCGTCGAGGACCAGGTCGGTGGAGGTGGGGTTGGCGAGAGGGAAGTAGCAGAAGCCGAGCAAGCCGCCGCCAAGGTCGGAAAGGAAGTAGAGGTTGAGGTCGGCGTAGGAGCCTTGCTTGAGGGATTGCTTCATCTGTGTCTCGGCGCTGCTGCCCTGGCCGGCGGCGGCCCAGGCGTTGTTGACAGTGATGTCGATGGAGACGGTGTTGAAGGAAATGCCCATGGCAGAGTAGGCATCGTTCATCACCGACATTTGCTCCTGTGCCATGGCGCGGGTGTATTGGCCTTCCTTGGCAGAGGTGGTCACAATGTGGACGTAGGTGTCAACCGAGATGGCCTGGGCGACAACACGCTGCAGGTCGGTAGCCATGAAGGCCTCGTTCTGAAAGGATGGGTCAGTACACCCATACCACTCTAACTGTGTGTGTGTGTGTTGGGGGAATGGTGACTATGAGGACTCACCATCTCAGCCATGTGGGTGGCATTGGGGTTCTCAGTTCCGCAACGAACGAAGTCAGCAGAGGCAAAGCCAGCAGCAGCCACTGCGAGGGTGAAGATGGAAGAAAGCATCTTGAAGGTGAGCTTGGAGTGGTGATGCGAGGCAAGTGAATGGAATTGAATGTTGTTGTTGGCTCTGATGGTTCTTCTTCCTTCGAGGGAGATGACTTCCTTTATACAAAGGCAACCTACCTGATACAACCTACTACTCCTACTACTCCTACTACTCCTACTACTCTACCACTATCAGGCGAAAGACGGCCGTCCATTGCAGCTGAAAGAAGCTCCACCGTGGGTGGTATCGCTTCTCATGCTGTCTCGGGGCAGCACATTGCTGTAATGGGCAGGAGTGAACGATTGGTAACGACCCGCCCCAGCCCAGCAGGTTCGGACATTGGTCTGCTATCGCATCCGGCCCTAGAAGGCAAAGATGATCGTCTGTCCGCCACAGCAGCCAAGATATGCTAGAAGGCCATCGTGTAGGCCGTGAAGGTGGTAGGTCAAGCTTAAAAAAATCCGCTCTAAGCCACCAGTGGGGCCGTCGGAGGGAACCGTTCCAAGTAGGTGACTGGCACATGGTGTACCTCCTTAGGCGAGACCATATAGCACCTGCAGCGGACCGGTCGACTTGGCACCCTTGTGGAGGTCGATCCAAGCGGGAAGGTGATGGTGTGTAGTCGCATATGTGGTTGTTCGGAGCGCCCTTGTGTATGCAGTTGTACCACACATTTCGCTATTCGCCGTGGGGGGGCGGGAGGGGAAAGGGGTCATCAGATGGAGAGAGAAAGGGAGGAGGCGAAGACCGAAATGCTGCATGAGGTGCTTTGTCCGGGGTGAATGAAGGGGACATTATGTCGGTGGCGATATACTACTACTACTGCTACTTACTACTAGGATGTATGATGATGCTCTCTCTACCAAAAAGTGTTGACGAGTATTTCTTGGTACGACTTGAATGCAGGACGAGACGCCACGCGAGATGAATTCTTTCCTGTTCCTGGTCTGTCAGATATAACTTTCATATTACACGCATACTGGCGGTGGACTTGTAGTGGAGTCTGGCAGCGTTGTGGCGTCAGGGAGAGAGATATGGGAGGAGTGTGTGCGTGATGCATGCATGCATGTAGGAGGTAGCAAGTAGTGTAGAGATTAGGGGAGGGGGGGGAGGAGATCTTCATGGCTGGCAGCCCAATCCACTGTGAAGTTTTGCCAAGTCCAGCGCCAAGGAAAGCCAAGGATAAAAGTCCACATCACAGCACTATGTTGTGCATACAAGCATACCAAAGTCTCCATAAATATATGCCACTTGCAAGCATACCTCCTAGGTACATAATAGGTACAGTACCGTACAGTATCTAAAGGTACCTTAGATATCGGCAACTACATACTACCAGGTATCATCCCCCCTCGGAGCCATCTCTTGGAAAACTACCGTACCTTACCTACGCCACAACCATCACTCGAAGCCCTTCCGTGCGTGTTCCATGAGCCATGCATGATCCAATCCATTGACCGAATACTTTGAATCTTGGAACGGAGAGGATTCCTTTACCAAGCGAAGCCCTCTCGTCGACTCCTGAATATCAGGGGAAGAAGCGGATACAGGGCATATAATCATCAGGTATGTAGGTACATATATGGTGGTATCTCTGTTCTTCTGCACTACTGCAGGAAACAATTGGAAGAGAAACCTCAAACTACCTACCTACCCTTTTCTTCATCGGCGTGCAAGTATGTACCCACACGTAACCTGAGATATCAAAGGATCTCTCGTAAAACCATAGACAAACCGAGAGAGAGCATTATCTTCATCATCAGCATCGGCATCATCAGCATCGGCATCATCATCAACTAGTCAGTACCTGCATTGTAGTATAGTAGGTACAATAAGGTAGTATACAAGTAAAGTAGTAAGGTATGGATTTGGTATACATGCTCCGATAGCCAAGCACATGCCAAGCAGAATAGCGGGCAAGTCGTTTCTATGTGGTTGATCTTTTTGATGCGACCCTCCACTTCTGGCCCGGTCGAAACCAAACCTCAAAGGGAAGGTGTCGCGTATATCAATAGGACTGACTGGATGTTGATGAATGATGATGATGATGATGATGATGATGTCCTCAGGAGGAGGAGGAGGGTCACAGTATAGCAAAGTTTGTACTGTACTGTACTGTACTGTACTGTAGTCCTAGGCAGACTTGGCTAGGGATACGATCTTTTTTTGTAGGTAGGTAGTTCGATAGGAATACGAGATTCATTAACTGCTTGCTACCTACGACCGCTGATCAGATAAGAAGGAAGAGTGGCTGGAAAAAAAAAATGCCAAGCGACTATGTGAGGTTCTGTACGAGGTATCTAGGAAAACCAGCCTAGAAGGAAAAAAGAAAAAGAAAAAGAAGAACCAAACTCCGCCATCGCTCTACAACATTCTAGGTATACTACTTTTTTTTTGTCCTGCCCTTTCTTCTCTTTTCCTACTCTCATTGTGTTCATATCGTAGTTAGTCATTCAAAAAAAATACCCCCCCCCCCCAAATAATAAAAAACACCAAAAAAATACTTTATTTTACTGTCTGTTTCACTTCACTTCACTTCACCTCGTATCCCTCTCTATACATGTACGAATACGACAAAAAAATCAAGAAAATAAATGAAACAAATCAATCATCGTACTCAACAAACAACAAGCAATTGTGATGTCCCTCGCATATATGTACATGTATAAAGGTATGCACACCTGCATGCATACGTGTGCTACATGTACCTTTTTGCATAATGCATAGTGTATAAGGTAGGTAGGTACAATAGGTACCTAAGGTAAGGTACAGATAGGTACATGTAGGTACGCTCGAGCTCAGCGCAGAACAGAACAGAACAGAAAGCGAAGCGAATCGAAGCGAAAAGCCTCTAAGAGCTTTGCTACCTACCTGTAAGGTACATGATATAAGGTATACAGGTACCTAGGTAGCAATACTGCAAATAAGGCTGAAGAAGAAAGAAGAAGAAGGACAGGGACAACAAGCCCGCTCGAGCGCGCAAGAACTTGAATAGAACTTGAATGGAACCTTACCTATTGTACTTACCGACCTACCTTACCTACCTTACCTAGGCACACCTACGTATGACTCTCTTGTACATACATGTAGGTATATACCTACCTCTTAAGTACAGTAGCTACCTTGCTAAATATAGTACCAACGAATAATGAACTATTCATCCCTTCTCCCTTCATCCCTTCTCCCTACCTACAACTACAATTCCTACCGACAATACAACCTTGTACGGGATATAGGCTATAGCACAACATCATCGTCACATGAAATAAAAAGAAGAGAGAGAGAGAGAGAGAGAAAGGCACCGGGGTCGGAGTTAGTTCATAGTTACCTTACCGGGCAGTTAGTCTACGGGAATTCTCTTCCGATAGAACTAAACTCAGGTACCTTAACCCTTACGGCAACTTGCTATAGCGTATACTCCGAACTGCCGGACATCATCACTATCTAGCTTACCTAGGTACCTACTTACATGGATAATAATGTAAAAGAATACCTGCTCGACAGTAGTAGTAGTGGGTTAGGGGGGACAGTAGTCGGTAGTTATGTGCAGTACTGCACAACAACCGGCATCGCACGTCGCCAGAGAGCTAAAAGGGGAAGGTGGGAGGTGGGAGATGAATGATATGTACCTTATAGTATACAAGTCGGGCACGACTCGGACTGCTACCCTAGGAAAGTACATTGTATGTACCTACCTACCTACACATTTACTTGCTTGACTATCTAAAGACCTAGGGAGGCAGGGAGGTAGGTATATAATCTCTTCTAGCCATGGTATACAACAATCATTATGAGGGGCCGGGAGGTCCAAAGAAGGATAGTCGCCACGAAGAGTTCCGTCGAGATGCTGTGGGGTACCTGCCTGGGTAGCCATGATCTATCTATCATCTATGTACCAAAAACACAACAAATCCACCAAATCGCTCAGAGTGAAAACATCATGCATGCTCCGCTCGCTATGTATGCTCAAGTCACCACCGAAATGCGTATGCACAAACAGCCGCTCCAAAAATCCCCCCCTTCTCCCTCGAATCCTTCAAGACGCTCACAGCATGCTTCTTACTCCTTCCAACCGAAACCTGACATCTTTGAGAACTTTGCTTGTTGGTTTCCACTCTTCAAACTCCTTAACGAGCTCCTTGACCTCCAGCTGCAGCTTCGGATCTTTCTTGACAATGTCCTCTTCGAGCATGCCTCTCACAGCCCATGGCAGCACGTATGGATTCTTCTCTGCAGTGCCGGTCGACGCAGCAGGCTCGTACGGACTCATGACGGGGGCTATCCCTGGAGGCGCCAAACTAAGACTCCCAAGTGAGCCGCGTCGCATGTGGTTAGCAGCTGTCATATTCGGTGGATAGCTAGCGTATGAACCACGCCTTGAAGCAGCTTCTTCCATGCTCTTGCGCGACTCGTCGACAGAAGTCTTCCGATGAATCTGGAATGTCGCAGGCGAGACATCGCTACTTTCGAGCGCAAACTCGATGGCGGTGCGATACACAGCAGGATCGTCGTAAACTCTGCTGTGGCCGGCGCCACCAACAATGCTACCTGCAAGTGGCGCTGATATTTCGCGCAGCAGCCCGTGATCACTCACGCCCAGGTTGCGGAGCTTTGCCGCAAACACGACCAGATGGATCAGGAAGTTCGAAGTATGCAATTGGCCATCAATGAAAATGGTCCTGTTCACGTACGGATGGTGCAAAGGCGTGTGCAAACTCGACTCCAGGCTCACGAGCTGATCATCCAGTCCTCCCACCAAAGTGATGCGAACGCCGTGCCTTAGACAGGTATCGAGAGCGTTTGCATATGCAATCGAAACTTTCGACGTCCTGTCCGAGAAATCAAAGAGCTCAAGCGCGCTGCCACCAAAAAATCTAGACTTATATTCCAGAAATGGCCCAAGATTGATGCCAGCCATCGCGCAAATACCAATGCGTGCATTTGGCGACAAGCAACCAATTTGAATGAGCTTCGCGACTAGCATTGTTGCGACAGGCACTCCCTGGCTGTGGCACGCAACCATGATGAAGTCTGCCTGTCGAAGTTGGGATAACCAGTTCAATAAGAGCTTCCAGAGTGTGTCAACTCGGTCGCTCACAAAGCCCTCGCCCTCAAGTGCGACCTTCTCGATCATGACATCTTTGATATCTGGTTGATGCTCTAGACACCACTTCTTGATAGATGCTGCAGCATAGTTGGCAAACCGAATAGACGTGCCAGTGGGCTGGCCAAGCACTCTTTGTAGTAGCGCGGCTGGAAAGAACCTGCAAAGGTCAGCGGAGGTTCCAATCGCGCCTATGAATGCTGTGTTTTGATCACCTACCCATGAACACCGATAGCAATAGCCTTGTGCACTTTGTGGGGCTGGGGCGACACATGAGGATGTTGCACAGACTTCGCGGGCTGCGTGAGATGCAGAGACGAGCCGATGTAACGTGTCAATCGATCTAGATAGCCCATCTCGCTCACCGTCGGGTAGGTGTCTCGAAATGTAGGGAGTACTAAGTTGGGATGAATCTGTTTTAGCTTGCCTCTCTGTACCGGAGCAGGAGAGCTCTCTGGGGTATCGTTCGGGGTAAAGAATGCTGGGGTCTGTACTTGTGATCCTGTTGGTGTTGCTGCCGCTGTCGTTTCACCAGAGAGATCTTTTGACTTCACGTTCTGCTTCCGACCACGCTGCAAAAGCGACCCGCTTCGCTTCACCTCAGCGTTCGCATCGCGCTGCTCATTAAACTGCGCTGCCTCGGGATGGCTTTGCGACGGCGTATCTGCCACTGCGAGCTCGCCGACTAGTTTCTGTGTGTCCTCTTCGCTTACCTTCGATCTCTCCTTGGGCTTGTCTTTCGACCAGAATGCCCAGCCCGAGGATCTAGGTCTATCTTCATCATCCTTGGGCTCGACCGACTCGGTCGACTTCACATTTGTGGTGGTAGCTTCCGCCTCTCCAGTGACTTGCACGGGCGGTAAGCTGGCTTGCTCGACCCGAGGCTCCCCAGTCTCCTGCTCACTCTGCTCTCGTTGTACACGATCTGCCTCTCTCTGCCGCTCTTCCTCTTCGGCCTGCTCTTTCTGTGCTTTGCTCCAGAGGCCGAACCACGATCTAGCGGAGCCATACTTTGTGCTGGTGCTCATTTCTGGCTGCGGCCCCCCAATTAGATCTTCTGCGGCACTGCCCTGCTGTGTACTTGCATCGTCCTGTGCATCCAATTCGGGTGTTCCAGGTAGAGGCGTGTCATTAGCCTGCTCCGCGATGGCGTCATCTATGGCCGTTTTGTTACTGCTCTTCAACCCTTCTGCTTCGCTGTTGTCGCCGTCAGGTCTAGACCACCACCCAAACCAGCCGCCCGAAGCAGGTCTCATGCTTGTCGTCTCTGCCTTCGCATCGTCCTCCAAAGGCGCAGGCGTAGCGGCAGGCTCAGGGGGCAAGGGTGCTTCCTCTTCGACGATGCCTTTGCTTTCCACTGGCACAGATTTTGCCTGCTGCTTCTCGCAGACCTTCCCCTTCTCGTCTGCACCAAGGCTCTTGCGCGGTTTCGGCACGCTGGCAGGATCAGGCACAGCGTGGACTCTCGTCGCTTCCGCCACTAGAGGACCACTCTTTCTACTGCTGCCCTTGAAGCTATTGCTGACGCTTTGGCTGGGTTTTCGAATGCCGTCCTCCTTGCTGGAGGACTCCGACGACACGCCCTTGTCTACCGATACGCACTCCCGGGCAACCACTGCAGCAGTTGGCAAGGCTTTCGCCTTCCACGAGGCGGCCGAGTACCAGCTGTGGCGGGGTCCCGGAGCAGCCTGATGAGGCGAGCGTTTCCGAGGGGTGCTGGTGCTGTTGCTGCTGTTACCGCTGACCACGCCCGCTGCGTTCGGATCCATTGAGAGGGAGGCGTGTCTGGCTCCATCGTGCGGGCTCGTCGTGTTGGGGGCTGATTGGTTGTCGTTGGCTAGGGCGGGCTGCATATCGTCGTTATCGCTGCTCAATCTAGTCTTCTTACGCGCCGGAGCCATAATACTATTACTCTTCAGATCAGTGCAGATGGCGTGCAGCTTCCTCTGCACGAGGCAAGTTGGACGGGGCCAGTGTCAAGTATCAGCTCCAGCTGTTCTTTGTGCAGAGGAAGAAGCATCAGGTAAGGTAAGCACCTTAGACGGGACTCGTGGTACCTGGAGTGAGTGACTTTGGGGCCATCACCACAGTACGGTTAAAGACTACTTAAGTAAACTCGTCGCGTGAGTGCAATTATGACGGCGAGTGAAACCTAAAATGCGCCCGCGAAAGTCAGGTGGTAAAGTGCACTGCAGGAAGGACTTCCACCTTCCAGCTTTGTTCAACACACCTGTCGACATGCGATAGAGTAACGGTAGGAGGTACCTCCTACACTTGGCTGCATCTGCACGGGATGCAGGCGATGAAGAGCGTACCAAATGGTGCATGCCTTACAGAGCAGTCGCTGAGTGGTACCTACAGAGGCCGCCTCTACCGCGCCGGACCTACCTCCTAGGAGGTATGTATTCTATGGGACGAAATTTGGGAACAGAGTTCAGATGAGCTGCCAAACCAATCTTGTTGTCCTGTGACTATGTAGGTACCTAGGTAAGGTAGGAAGGTAATAATGTAGCTGTCTATCCAGCTCCATCACCGCCGTCGCCTCCGGACCTTCCTCTCTCACAGCGCTGAATACTCGCATTATTCAGACAGCTAGACAGCTTGCAGAACATTCTCCGCAGCAGTCACAGTGACCGAAGGCGCCTCGTCTTCCACAAAGATGCTCCTCACGGCGCCGGCTTCGACAATAGCGGCATACCGCTGTGATCGGTGGTTGCCGAGGAGGCCAGATGCATCGAAATCAAGGCCAGCAGCGCGGGTGAACTATATTGATGTTAACATGCTGTTCGGAAGCCGAGTGCAGACGACACAATACTCACGTCGCCCTTGTCGTCAGCCAGGATATGCACCAGAGGGTTGTTCCAACCATTCTTCTCGGCCCATGCTTGTGTGGTGAAGGCGTCGTTGACCGCGACAATGTAAATCCCCGTAACGCCTTTTGCGGCGAATTGCTCTGCCTTCTCGACGTAGCCCGGGACTTGCGACGAACAGGGTGGAGTGAATGCGCCTGGCACACCGACGACGATGATCTTGCCACCGAGAGTGGCCAATTCGACAGTGGCTTTCTCGGGATCTTTCTCCTTCAGTGCTACTGTTGGCAATTTGGAGCCTTGTGCCAGTGGCTTAGCACCCTTGAGCTTGTTGACAATGCTGGACATGGTGGTGGTGGGGATGGTATCTGCTAACACGTATGGGGTATTTGTGATTCAACAGTATCGAAGGGGGGTGTAATGTATCTTAGTGATCACACACAGAGAAACTGGAATGCTACTGCGTCATATATAAGTACAGTGTCAGCCTCTTCCATGCAGTGATGGAACAGGAGGGGCAATAAGATCGCAACTTCATCATATTGGTATGAGATCATAGCTTGACATGAGTCTACAAAGTTAGATCGACACAAGTCAGAGCGATTTGGGGCAAGCCAACGCCCATCACCTTCATCATGGTGAGATGATGTGCTTTCTGCTCCAGCCAAGGATATGATTTGGAAGTATTTGGCGTTGGCAAGGACTGTTTGTGTTTATTATTGTGTTCCGGATAGGTGGTAGTGGTACTTCTTTTGCAAGCAGGTTAAATGTGGGGTCGTATCCATGTGCCCGAGAAATAGGTAACAGCATTTCGCCTCCCTACGACAGCGTTGTCCACGCGGCCCCAAGGAGTTTGACTGTGCCAATCGGTCAGCATTTAAAGACAAAGATCAGGCACCGGAGTACTGGCACTGCCTCATGTCTCTCGGAGCTTACTGGAATCCTAAGAGCAGGGCATCATGGTGCGGCAGGGTGATAAGAAACCAAGAACGCGACGCTGGCGCTGCAATCTTCTAGAAAACATGTGTACCTATATTACTTGAGCTGGTCTATTCTTTCTCACAATCACCCTTATTCATCATCCTCTGTATTCTCGCAAGCGAAAGGGCTTTTAGCCCGAAGTTTCGGCCCATAACGTGAAAGGACAAAGGGTATAGGCGCAAGGAGAACCGCCAGCCCGGTGATAATCGTGCCTGCCCAGCTGGTACCGAGCTTCTCATACATAACGTTGCCCACCATTGGGAAAACGGCACCTCCAATGTTTCTTGCTAGCCCAATACCAGCCAAGGCAGACGCGGAGTAAGCCATGTAGCTCTCCTCGGTGTATATGGCTACCATAAATATGAGCGTAAAGAAGCTGAAACCGAACAGAGTTGTCGCAAGAATTGGGACCACCCAATGTACACCATATGCTGGTGAAGCCCAAGCAAACCAAGCGAGACTTATCGGCAGCAGGATGGCAGCTAACTTTCCCAGTTGTACACGAGCTTCGGGCATGTATCTTGGTGTGGTAGAGCGGCCGCGCTCGAGGAGATTGCTTGCTTCAGAGGTGCCAGAGTCTTCCGAAGATTTTCTGTTCCCACGGACTTGGTGTTGATAATAGCGTTCCTGCCAGATGCCAGCGATCGGACCCAAGCTGATCCCTAGGATCAAACCTAGAAAGCAATACCCAACACCGGCTGTGTCGAACCCATAGCCTGCTTTGCCAAAAACAAGCCCGAACGCTCCATTGAACATAAAAGACAAGCCATACAAGAGAAAATTGAAAAGAGCACCGAAGATGACGATGGTCTCAGTGGACAGGAAGCGGAAGGGCCGCGCCAGTGTAACAGTGAACAACGTCTTCAACGATCTCGCTTGAACCTCACTAGGTATTGTCTTGCCCTGCTTGCGTGCCCTTCTTCGAAGCAAGACGGAGTGTCGTGTCTCATTTCCAAAAGGCACTAGTACGATTACAAGCTGAAGCCATAGAGCTGCGCAAATACCGAGCAGTGTCCAGAGGACGGTCCGCCAGCCATGCTGTTGAGCCACAAGGGACATCAGGAAGAACCCAATGGGACTGCCGCCAACGGCCGCCCAGAGGAATACGTTCATCGCGGGTCCAACCTCGTCACGAGCAAATAGGTCTGCTATCGTGCCACCAAAATTGGCAATTGTCACGCTTGCGAAAGCGCCAGATAGCAGTCTTAGCATAAAGAAAATAGGAAGGTTGTTTACCAAAGCGGTCAAGCCCAGAAAGACCAGGAAGATGCCATAAGGAATCAAATATAAAGCTGTTCGTCCATAGTATTCCGACAGAGGAGCCTACCGATGAAAGATAAGCCCGGGTCTCATAGTTGGCGGCGCCTGTGCATGATGACTCTCGTGGACTATACATCGTGGAAGCAGAAAAGACAGTTGCTTTGACTTACAATGAGCCTAATGGTAACAAAATCGAGGTAAGCACGTGTTTCTAAAGCAGGCTTATCTCACCAGGGCCTTTCTCGTCTTGTCGCCGTGGTGGGCTTGGCCTTGGAGAGACAGCGAGAGCAAGGGGATTTGCTCACATAGGTCCAAAAGCCAGGCCAAGCACGTACAAGCTCAGTCCGAGATGGCTAAGCTGGTGGCTGATGCCAAAGTCTTTGGCGAAGCTCTCGCTTGCTGGTGAAAAGCCAGAAGCACCGAAAGATACTGTCAGATCAACCAGACCTATGCTCGACACCACCAACCATTTCCTCCACGATGGCCAGTTCCGTGGGTTGGTTGGGTCGCCGGGAAGAAACCGAGCCAGACCGTCGTCGGCTTGCGCGGTGTCGGTGGTGACCTGATGCTGTTGGGTCATGGTGGTGAGTGGTGGCATGGATGTTGAGGAGAAAGGAAAGTAGGTATCGCAGAGAGAAGAGGAAGAGGAAGAGAGGTACCACAGTACCTAACCTGTTACGGGGTTACCTGCCAGGTAGGAGGTAGGTTCCTTACCGTATGGCGTACGGTACTTGGTACCTCCCACGTCCAGGGAGGGAGAGGGGTCCCACTCTGGACGGGTTGTCGCGTGCGACCGTGCGTGATCTTACATGAGGCAAACGCGCATGCAAGGATGCCTCAGTCAATGAGCTATCCCATCCCGCCTAGTCCGACTGGTCCGTGTGGCCCGCCTGGTCCGGCTAGCGACCCCTCGTCCGCCCAGCCCGCCAACCTGAAGCACCCTCGCACCTGCCTCCGCCTTTCCTCTTTCCTTTTTAGTGCTCCACGCTCCGTGAGGGTCGACGCCTCGACGATCTCCCACTCCCGCCGACGGACGGGATGGTCCACGGACGATCGACGAAAGGACGAAAATGGATTGTGGGATCAACCTATTAGGGCACTCTTAGTAAGCTGGCGTGACTGCCTCACCTGCTCTTCAATCTCTCTGTGTCCGGTTTTGTTTCTTCTGTCTACATGTATACCAGGTAAGCCTAAGGTACATAAGGTACCTCACCTCAGGTACATTACCTGATCTCCCGTTCTACCACTGCTTCCGTCCTTCATACCTCAGGTACATGTACCTCATATCAGATATGTACCTACCTACCTGTCGCGCCCCCTCACGCTGCATTCATTCCCTCGACACTTCACTGGCCTGTACCGACTGATGCATATACAGTTATACACTATCCACGGTCTGCCCATGGAGCATATTGGACAGGCCGAAGCGAGAGGCAGTGTAATCACAATACTGCAAGGAAAATTGAGTCTTTGTACCCCTACCCACATCTCACCAACAGAGGCCTGCTTATTGACTCGACAGACTCTGTGTGACCGTGTCAGCGAGAAACCGGGTACACTGCATGTATTTCAGCAACATGACGGCGTGCCACAATCTCGATTGCAGCGCGGAGCAGGGCAAACGGCGACATACCCTGCGGCGCTAGACTGAGCTCACCTACGAATGTGGTCAATGGACGAAGGCTGCACACATTGCAAGCGCGGACTAAGGTACATGACATGTATTTGATGAAGGAGCAGGTCGTGGGTTGACCTGAGGTACAACTTCCAACCGCTTGAAAGGTTCCCCACAATAACAACAACAGCAAGCCTGCCTCCTCACTCGGTTCGTCTCGCAAGCCGAACGGGCCCTGGCTAGGCGGTATTGCTGGGGAGTCGGGACTGGATCTCTTCATTCTCTTCCTCACATCCAGCCCTGCCACTGAATCTTGCTGCCACGCTGCCTCATTTGTGCGTCGGGCCTCGATGCACAGATAAGCCCCCATGCTTCCGTGCAACTCCCGCTTCAGTGCACTCTCCGACTGCTCTGGGCATGCCTATCGCCCACACTGTAGGAGTACAGCCGACTGCTCTTGTTATAGTAAAACCAACCACCAGGTCCGCGATCTGTACCGCTTCCACGCCTCAAGGCTTGCGGCCCGCATTCGCCAGGCTAGAGTCATCGAGCACTAGTACGCTTGACCATACTATGCTTGCTTGCTCGGCCCTGACTCCTCGCGCTGCTATCTTCCACCCCATAGCTCTGCGCTAGATGAGTGACTTTCAAGGAGGTCCAGGCATGAACGGGCCCGGAATATTACCGAACCAGAGCAGCAGTACAACAACAGTACATATATGCTTCGCCAATCCCGATACCTCGCACCTATCCCCGAACCAGAGCAGCAGTACATCGTACAACAGTGCATTTATGCTTCGCCAACCCCGATACCTCACACCTATCCCCGAACCAGAGCAGCAGTACATCGTATAACAGTACATTTATGCTTCGCCAACCCCGATACCTCGCACCTGTCCCCGGTGTTCTCGAAGGCTCGGAGCTGTCACCTTGCGAGGCTGGGAGCCGTACTTGAACCCTCTTAGAGATTGAATGTGCCACCCTTGACCAGCTAGAAGCCAATTCAGAGAATTCTGCTTCACATGAATGCCATCCTCCGCACGGGTTTGCCCTCTATGTTGGCATTCCAGCGACCTGAACAGATGTCTGAAGGCCCGATAGATGTGTGGCGACGCCAGTACGTTCACGATCAAATGTCACTTCATCAGTGGCACCACAGCCAGGCTCTTCCAGTTGGCAATATCCACGACCCAGAATTCAAGTACTTCCACTCGGAATCTCGAGACTACGATGAACACATCCATCATGAAGGCGGCCCGCTAATATCGCCGCCGATGAGCTATGTACCAGAGACGAGTTGGGCATCTGATATGGATATGGAAACACCATCTACAGCTGGATTTCCAACGAGCGAGCCGGTTGACAATTATCATAATATGCGACATAATACCGCCCCGCATCATCTCAATATGCCACCACGGCACGAAAGAGTGCAGTCTAATGCTCAGAGTCCCAGAAGTTCCTACGGTGAACCAAATTCAGCCAAAGAGGACAGACCGAACTTATTCCGGTCCATCACAGCACCAGCATCATCAACAGACCACAGACCAAGAAGACTCCCCAACAACAATGTCTCTGGAGGAGCACCTCTCATCAAACGAACCGGTAGTGAGGACGAAGAAGACGAATACGTTCCCAACGGAGGAGTGGTCAAGCCACGAGCCAGAAAACGCCAACGCATTCCTCACACCGCGGTCGAGAGACGCTATCGCGAGAATCTAAATGCACATCTCGATAAGCTCAGACAGACCGTGCCTGCTCTAGCATCGAAGCCTGGTGAGGGGATTGGAGAAGGAGTCAAGCCGAGCAAATGCGAGATCCTCATCGGTGCCATTGAGCATATCGGTGCTTTGGACATCGAGAACTCTGGACTCAAGACCGAGGTTAGGGCTTTGCGGTCAAGATTGGAAGATCTGGAGAGATGGTGCAATTCCGGGACGTTAGTCAAGTGATGGCCTTGTGGACTCGTGTTGCAGTCTGCGACAGTTGATTGCATGCCTACTTTTCAACGAGATATGATCATTTATTTTCGTACATTGGCGACTGTGTAAGTCGCTCGTGGCAAGAGTGATGCTGTGATGAATTGGATGGGATGGGGATGGGAATGGAAATGGAAATTGGAATGGATTGGCGTTGAACAGAAAAGCTGTATCACAACATTTTGAACGAGACGGCTGTGAGCAAGTTCAGCCAAGATACACCCATACTCACGTACACCATCAGTCTCCATGCTCTCATGTTGCCAAAACCGGATGAACGTCTTGGCGCGCCTTCGCTAGAGCTTAATTGCTCTGCATGTATTTTATTTTTATTACTCATCTCTGAATCGCCATCGTCCGCCATGTCGCATGGCTTCACGATAGCGGATTTCGATATCCTGTCGATCTTTTTCGTGAGATTTTTGGCGGTCTTCCAGGTTCTCTTGGGTAGTCGGGAAGTCAGTTCGCCAGAAGTTAGCCGGAGTACTCTGTCGCTCGAAAGCTTGTCGATGTTTCCCATGCTGCTTTGTGAACGCGTGCACATGGGCCTGCAGCACAGCCTCTTTTCGCTTTGCCGCATCATAATTTCCCATTATCTGTTTGTACTGAGGACCTAAATAGTCATCCAAGGCCTGGGCGTCAGTCTTGCCTGACACCTTTTGCCCGCCCATGGCTATCACGCTCTGCATTGCACCGCCGCAGCAGTCAGACCTCGTACAAACATGCAACACCCGTCGCTGATCCCTACCACGGAGCGTATCGGCAAATGCGAACTCCGAACCAAGATAGTCGGGATTAATCCTAAAGTCGTCGAGCTTCATGGTCCGCACATCACGCAGGCGCAAGGGCTCTTCTTCTGGACGATGTGGAGGTGGTGGCGGCGGTTCAACGCCACGTGACATAGATGGTACAACAGGTCGTTTATTTGGCGACCTGGCCTCGGGGTGTGAAGATGGCGTTCGAGATTTTGCAGATGTTCGCATCTGACTCTTGTGCACTGACACTCGCAGATGACGCGGTACATCGGGTGTAAGATCTGACGGGTGGCCCGTAAGCAGCCCTTCAAGCGTAGCATCCTTGCAAGGCTGCGGTATTTCTACATCCTTGGGGGTGGGCATGACCTGACTAGAGTCATCGCCGTCCTCAGAGAGAACGCCAACCTTAGATCGAGTACTTTTGCGAGCTCCATTGGGCGCTGATATCGGAGTCAGTCTCGGTCGCGGCAGTAGAGGTGCATTGGCACTTAGCGGCCTCAGAACATCCTTATTGCCTCGTAATGAAGAGCACGGGGAGCTGGCTACTGGTAGCATTCCACCAATCTGCTCATTGACTTTCATGCTGGCCGGTAATGGAGCCGACATACGAGCCCTGGGATCTCCTTCAGACAGCGATGAAGTGCTTCTATGCAGCATTCTTCCAACATGTTCCTCGGAGCTGGCACGTCGTCCACTGCCCCTAGTTCGGTTGGATTGCTGACCTCCAGGCCTTATATTATCGAGCTCGTCACACCGACATGACTCGTCGTCATGGCACAGGCACGTCTGCTGTGGGTCTCCCGAGGGAACCGCTATATTCGTATGGGGAGAGCTAAACTCCCGTTTGATACGTCGTGGAGGCGACTCGCGTGCCGAAGACCGTGGCGCTCTCCGCTTCAGACAGCGTTCCGAAATCAGTTCAGGCTCCTCGTCGCTACTGTCCGGAATCTCCATCCGAGCATTCGAAGGTCGAAGCTGAGCTTCCTCGTCGACAGAATCGGTGGTCTGACTTGATCCAATTAGCGGCTGGGAGACTTGGGGCTGCTCTTGCCGTATATAGCCCTGCATATGTGGTGGGCTTGATTGCCTTGCCGGAGAGACAGGTGCCGGCTGCTCGCGACGCTGGGTGCCTTCTGCCGCCTTCAAGTTTGGCCGCGGCGTGCGATCCACATCTGCTGATGGCGCCTCTGCTGAGGTTACGACACCAGCTCGCCGGTCAGCCTTTCCGGAGCTCGACGTGCTCGGACGTGGGATTCGTCCCTCTGCTTCTTGACGATCAACATATGTTTTCCACTGCCACGCTTTACTTTTGTAGGCCTTGCATTTGGCATCAAGCGCGATGATCTTGCCCTCGCAGCGACGATGTAGCGCTTCGAGACTCTTGTATCTCCAGTCCAGCTCCTCATACATGCGATTCAGTGCCTCGTAGTCGGCCTCAGCTGGCCTGGCGTGCACCTTTCGACCTGCATGCGCCACCAGCTGGCCAGCTGCGCCGGAAGCGAGTTGAGTGTCATTCTCAGCGAGGCCACGAGCGGCAGCTGGTGGGCGAGTGGGGCTCTGCAGCTGCGCGCGCAAGGCAGCATTCTGGTTCTGGAGTTCCTCGATTTCGAAGTCCTTCTTCCCTATTATCGCAAACAGCTTTGCTTCCCTGCTGGTCTCGTGTTCGGCAGGCCTGGCGTCCATTGTGGTGGCAATGTCGGTATTGTCCTGGCGGCCAGCAGAGGAGCGCGGTCTCGGACATCCACCTGGGTCAGCCTCCAAGTCCGGACATATCAGTGGCTCTGAATCTGGCCGGCGGGGTCAGTGCAGCAGCAGCAGCAGCAGTCTGATGTTTGGGGGCGGAGACGAAGTAGTGAGCAGGCTACGATGGTAGGAGGTAGTTGTAGTTACCTCCTAGGAGGTACATGCACCTTATTGTATGCCAATACACGGTAGCTTTGGCGTAGGTTGGGAGGCACGGACGGGGCGCGCGGCGCTGACGCGCACTCGTTCTGAGGTTCCACGCACTCCTGACTAAGCATTCAAAACGCATGCCAAGATAGAACGAGTGCATAGTTTAAATTACGAGTGCAGGTCATGTTTTTCTTCTTCCTCTACATCTACTTCTATCGAACCATCTGCAAACTATCTACCTACTCTTACGATAATAGTTCACTACTATTTACTCTATATTTACCGAATCTATCTTGTACTTGTCTACAATTTACTCCCTCGACAACAGTAAGTATATATCTACTGTTATTATACTGTTACTATACCGTTAGTATATCGTTTCTAAGATAATTAATAGATGGCTCCTCAAATTACCCCGAATATGTCTCGCCTGATTCCAAGTATTGATTTATCAGACGTCCCATCAGGCTCTTCGCCAAGTACCTACGAGAGTCGGTGGACTTGGGAGAAAGCTACCTTACCAGCCGGTTCTCAAATGTT